ACTCGGACCCTTTTTCATGTCTCTGATTGTGACTCAAAATAATCTTTTTCCGTCTGTGTTAGCTGTTGCAGCAATAAACATTCCCCTTTGACATCACTTTGTTATGTCACGTGCAAAATTATCAACAACTCTTCATCTTAGAGGCGTGAAATTTTCTTACGTTGTCAATGTTATCTTTCCAAAAATGCATTCATATTTATTGCAAAGAATTGATGTCACAGGCACTTTAACCACATCTTTCATTATTTAACTTTTACATTTGGGATTTAATATTTACATATAACATTTAGTTGCAATTAGCTATAATGTAAGGACAGTGAGCTACAATATCAATAAAATGTTAGTAGAAATTGTTTAACACTCAGAAAGTGAGTTGAAAAATGAAAATGTGATATTGTTTAGCATTTTATTTTACACTTGRTGCTCCATAATAAACATGGTRAATCAGTGGTGTGGTCTTGAGTTATGGAGCTAAATCATCTACAGCACGTTCGCCAGTAAAGSTATAACTTACTACACCCTGAAGAGACGAGTTGTGTTTGCAAAATAAACACACAACTTTTTTTTTTTTTATAAAAAGCTAATTGAAAGACGAGCCTTGGCTGCTGTAGATTATCTACATCGATGATCCTAAAATACGACACATTCTGTTGGTTAGCTTTGAACACGGACACATAAATGGGTGGAATTAGCATAGATTCATGTGTGACCGTCTTTGAAATGTCCCTCAGATGTTTGGGTTTTTTGCAAACAGTCCTTTTAAATACATGCCGTGCTGATGTTTTTTTCTTTTTCTTAGTTTTTTTCTTTATCAGTAAAAGCTCTGCGTTAGCATGCTGATAAATCTGTCACTCTAACAACCCATCGGCCTCCGTTCTGTCGGTAAAGACGGTAAAGACAAACACTCTGTCTGACGATGAGAAACACTTAGTTTCAGCGAGTTCAGGTGTTACACCATATTTTGTGACCGTCATATGTGACCAGAGGGGGCACTGTTAGGTTTCTACAACAGAACTTGGCCAAGCATGGCCATAAAGAATATGATGAAAGTGTAGCCAGAGGTCACAAAATATGACAACTGTTGTTATACTGTATATTGTGATTTCACTGTAGCTTGGTAAATAATAAAAATATTTTTTGTAAAGTGATTCTACTTGTTGTTAACATCCCCTAATGTCAGAAAAATAACTTCTGATCACTGGCATGTTGACTGATACTACAATTAATACTACTATATATGATAATAGCTATCATATTATGTGACCCTGTACTAATTTGATAACAGTCACTATGTCAGTGATCAAATGTGATTTTTCTGACACTAGATGATGTAAACAATTAAATTTGAATAAATAATTTTACTATTTCCTTAGCTACAGTGAAGTCACAGTATATGACAAGCTGTCATACATATATTGTGATCATGTATAACAATCAACAGTTTTAGATTTTTTTTCTTCGTATGTCTTCAGCCTCCGGCTTATTACACATTTGGCGTATCATATTCTTCTTTGTGCCCATGTTCGGCCAAGTCCTGTTGTAGAAAAGCAATAGCGCCCCCTCTAGTCACAATATATGACGGTCACAAAATATGGTGTAACACCTGTTTTCATTTTAAGCTGAAGCATCATTTCGTTCGCTCCTTCCTCTCAGGCGGTCACAGGATGGCACAGGCGGTGGCCAGCAGCTGCAGTCAGGCCTCCAGCTGTTTGTTTTTGTCTCCTGCGTGGAACGTGTGCGTTTTCATGTGAGGCTGCTGATGAGTGTGCGAGAATGYGCGTTTGACCTCGCCGGTTCCTCTATGTTTGAGCTCGCTGTGCGCGCGCTCATCACTGTTGGCGCGTGTCGGGTGGTCTTGCGTCGCCGGGGGACGCCTGTGCGTGTCCATCACCTCGTCCATCCAGCTCCTGAAGCGGCTGACTCGCATGTACAGCGCCGGCGAGGAGGGGTCGGAGCAGCCATAGCCCCCGGCCACGACCCCCATGAGGACCCATCGGCCCCCCTCCTCCTGACACACCAGCCCGCCTCCGGAGTTGCCCTGGCAGCCATCRCTGTGGAGGAGGCTGGTGTCTGGAGGACTGCCGGCGCACAGCGTGCCGTGGCTGGAGAAGCTGTTGCCGTAGCGCTTCTTGCATTGCCATGACGACATCAGAGGGACCCAGGAGGCGATGACGGAGTCTGGGAAAAAAAGAGATGAGATGGAGGCGTTTTTAATCAAACTTTCAGGAAATATTCACTACATGTACAGGGGTTGGAGAATGAAACTGAAACCCCTGGTTTTAGATCACAATAATTTATTAGTATGGTGTAGGGCCTCCTTTTTTGATTTTTTTTTCTGCTTGGTCTTCAGAGGAGCAGGACGTGCTGTTCGCTCTCTCCTCTGCTCCCTAACTGATTTCCTGCTGATCGGCGGAGGAGGGATCCAGATTTATCGTAAAGTGAAAGCGACCCTGACAGTGGTTCGGGCCTTTGAGGAGCTGTCGGGCGCACTTGAAGGATTCTGCTGGGCTGGAAGCACACAGACATTCAGTTGGGGGAAATAATTGGCAAACTGGATGTGATTCTGACGAGGATGGCAGCGCAGGAGCGAGCCTCCAGCATGTAAGGATTACATCAGGGTGATGCTTCAGACGGTGAGAGGCGAGGAAGACCCCAAATTTGGCTGATTGTTTTTTCGCCACTTCAGAGATGCAGTTAAGACATTTCAAAAGCAGCAGGAAATTCAAGGCTGCTTTGTCTCAAAACAAGTGGATTATCTATTTGGCTCCCAGCGGCACAGCCTTGACAGCAATGTTTATCTCAATCTCCCCAGGATGGAATGTCAACAAAGAGCTTGATTTGCTCCCACCCCCATCACCCATGTTGGACCCGGCCCCGGAACTCAATGGCTGAGGAGGAGGAAACTCTGAACTCTAGGGAACTGAGTAGAGATGATAACATCATGTGACTATGGACTCTGGAGGGGGCCAGGGTTGGGTCCTAGCATAGAACCCCCTCGCTCAACGTCACCTACTCCTCTGAACCTGTCCCATCTTACCTCCCCTTTACGTGTTGTTGATCCTCAGCCCCCTCCCTTCCTTAGCTCCTTGCTCTATGCGAGTAGTTTTTTTGAGCATATGATTCTGTGTTTCTGGGTAAACATAGGATCGGAGCATCTTTTTTTAACTCAATWTTCCTATTGTGTGCATTCCAAACTGTAAAAGGTAGCACGACTGTGGTTGTGAAAGACCTTGGACATTCGTTCCCTCGTGTTTGTTTTGTGTGTTTTACTCCGAACGGATGTTCTAAACCGCAATTTCGTTCTGCAATGCATCTGTGATGTTGTGTTGAATGACAATAAAGCTGATTCTGATTCTTTTGTGGTCAATACAGCACCAATTCGTCTTGGGAATGACATATACAGGTCCTGCACAGTGGTCAGAGGGATTTTAAGCCATTCTTCTTGCAGGATAGTGGCCGGGTCACTACGTGATGCTGACTTGCTCCTCCAAAACACTCCAAAGTGGCTCAATAATATTTAGATCTGGTGACTGTGCAGGCCATGGGAGATGTTCAACTTCACTTTCATTTTCATCAAACCAATCTTTCACCAGTCTTGCTGTGTGTATTGGTTCATTGTCATCCTGATACACGGCACCGCCTTCAGGGTACAATGTTTGAACCATTGGATGCACATGGTCCTCCAGAATGGTTCTGTAGTCCTTGACAGTGACGCACCCATCGAGCACAAGTATTGGGCCAAGGGAATGCCATGATATGGCAGCCCAAACCATCACTGATCCACCCCCATGCATCACTCTGGGCATGCAACAGTCTGGGTGGTACTCTTCTTTGGGGCTTCTCCACACCGTAACTCTCCCAGATGTGGGGAAAACAGTAAAGGTGGACTCATCAGAGAACAATGCATGTTTCACATTGTTCACAGCCCAAGATTTACGCTCCTTGCACCATTGAAGCCGACGTTTGGCATTGGCACCAGTGACCAAAGGTTTGGCTATACCAGCCCAGCCATGTACAGGTGCTGGTCATAAAATTAGAATATCATGAAAAAGTAGATTTATTTCAGTGATTCCATTTAAAAAGTGAAACTTGTATATTATATTCATACATTACATACAAACTCATATATTTCAAATGTTTATTTCATTTAATTTTGATGATTACAAATGACAACAAATG